TTCCAATGTTCTGTAACGTGTTCGTATATACGCGACATTCCTTTCTCCAAGAACACTAAAGAGAATTCCATCTTCTTTGCTTGTTGATTTAACCAGTGCAGTGATGTTGAATGTCGGCTCAATGCAGGAAGAACAACGAATTATTTAATGAGAATCTTTCTGAATGGCGACTGAGTAGCGATCTGTGGCGGCGCCACCCGTAGAGTTTCGTAAAATATCCCGGTAATGAATACGTTTGCGATTAGCGTGATGAATGAATTTTCCAGTTGGAGAGTCTTCACAGTGATGTCGGTAATGTTTCTCTCCCGTACTGAGCTCCATCGTTCCAGAATCCACGATGAATAGCAAATCCAATGGAAATTAATACTCCTCTATATCGTTAACCCGGATTTCGCAGCTCATGAAATTGACTATCAAATTTCCATCACTGTAAAGCGCTTTGTAACTTTAACTTCCATGAGTATTTTTACCAGAAATAATAGTGCCAATTTTAGGATTGTTCCAGCGCAAGTAAAGCACGAGCGGGTTTAATTCTTCTTAATCTTCTTTGCCAAGCACCCAAGTACTCGACATCAGCAGCATAAACAAGATCCTCAGAAACGCGACTCGCAAGCGACAAAACTTTTCCTCGTCAGGAATATTTACGAGGTGCTGAGTTTCCGTCCGCCATTTCGGTCCATGCATTGCAAGCCTCGCGTACGCATGGGAAATTCTTATTATTTTCACTTGTAACCCGTAGCACGGAAGTCGGAACTATAAACGAAATATGAGGCAGCGGCTGGACGAGCGAGATTTGGCACAAAATGTAATGAAATTTAATTTAAATGCGAGGACTATACGGTATGTATGATACAGCAGCAAGGTGCATTGCAATAGGCGGTGATTACGTGTCAATTATTTAAAATAATTCGCAGCGCTATTGGAATACTTCGATTGGACTGAAATCAAGAAATTACTTCCCATGTTGATATCTGAAAATTATAGGCGTTGAAATAATTTATAAACAAATTATTTATTGCTAAATGAAAGAGATTTTTTAGGAATGGAATGAATTGCTCCAGTTCACAATTTTGAGATATGAGATAAATTCAACGCCAGGATTCTAAACTGATGCATGCTCGCATATTTATTTAACTTAAAGTGCTTGTATGACACTTGAAATACCCTTTACGTCATATACGCCGCACAAGCATACGGAGCCAAGAACGAATAGAGATATGAAATTAAAAAATATTTGCTGTCATCTTTCTCTTAATTTTGTAACGTTGTGCCAACTTCAACATGTTTATTTGAGTTAGAACAAAATATATGGAGTTCATAACATGGAAAAGGAGAATAAATTGCTTCCAACAGATTTAATTCTGTAACCTGGTATCTGAAATTTATGGTTAACTATTTTGACCGAATTTGTAAAACAAATTGGTTAATAACAACGTCATTTTTGAGAGTATCAACTTAATCCACTAGTACATCACGTGCTACTTGAGTCCAAGCACATTGGTCACATCAATATATACAACAAATAAAAAAAACAGCACTTTGCGGGACATATAAATCTCATTGATTGCGTAATTATAGACAAGCTTCATTTTTTTCCAGTTAGGCTACAAAATTTATCACAGCGATTGTAATTTTCATGTTCATGACAGCTTTGATGCTTGCTGAAGAAATTTTTTTACATAAGATAATAGTATATCCAAGATTGGCGCCATTAATTAAACCATAAATGGAATGTGACAAGTAGATCTATCTAGTCTTGATTTCCCTCACCCCTACAGCCCCTATATAAAATAGTATCCAAGCTCTTATATCCTAAATCTGGCGCACCAAACAACACTTAATATTAGTTATGGCAGTTCTCGTTTTAATATCTAACAATTTCATAACAAACTTGAACAATATGGAATATTTGTGCTTCGTTATCAAAATAAATAAGCAAACAATAAATTTTTGAATTTAAAAGAAAATTTCACAAGATTTTATTAATGTCAGTCAAAAAGAAGCAGATAAATGTTTTTAATCGCGTAGAATAATAATACAAGTAACAACGTGACTCGGCCCCCAACAGAACCATTGATTAAAATCAAACAAATAAATAATTATATAACAGGAGTGCTACAATGCTATTAGAAATTTTGTTCAGTTTATTGAAAATTATATTCCGTTCTAATGTAACGGATTTCCGTTCTTAATCATGAAGATTAAGTTAGATTAAATATTGATGTCAAAGGAACTACTGCAGCATTAGAGGCTTTTGACAGCTTATGTGATACGAAGGTGACTCAAATGGTGTTCTAGGCTACTGTATTGCTCACAGTGACCAGAGTGCAATTCACTTCCTATCATCTTTCTAATTTAATGCATGATATGGGCCCTTTTTCAAGTTAATGCATGCCGCGTTACTATTTTGGTTTGACCCAACCCTTCAAGACGTCTCTGACGCATTAATTATACTTGGCATTAATGCCGGCTTTCGAGCCTTTAACTTTACGCCCTGTGGCGCTTTAACCTTATTAATTTTGCTAAGTTGGGTCGACCATACATTTATTTACTAACCATTACCCTCAATTGCACTGTCAAAACACCTTTGTACCTCTAAACGGCATTCAAGCAACTTCTAAATTGACCCCAGCGGTAATAAATTAGAAGGTTAGTCTAAAAATATTTAGCCTTACTTTGTATAAATTGATCAATATAGCTATTCTCATAATGAATAATTGCATACGATACAACAGCGCTTGTTGATCTATCTAATCTTGGTTCGTAACTATTAATTTACAGTAAAACCTCCGGTATTCTCGTACGTCGCATCTCTTTTGCCGTGTGCTTCATGCCTCTAGTGCAGCCAGCGCGACATTATTTCTGCTGTACACGTTGTTTCACTTGAGGTTAGACTGGGTGCTGCGTTCACTGTCAAGTTTTGTACCGCTAAATTGGAATTACTGAGCATAATTGAAAATATCATTTCTCAAGCTCTGGCCTTCATAAAGTAAGGTCTCTTTTTCTAATTTCAGTTTCCTCAACTGCATCCACACTGCAGTTCCGGTATTCTACTTTGCTGGATCCGAAGTTTATCAGTTGAAGTTTCAATAAAATTGTTAGCCGTTATGCTTGCATGAATTCCTTACAATGCAAAGATCACATTGAAGAAATTAGACATTAATATTGTTCATTAGCGCTTAACTCAAAAATAAACATCACCAGGAAAGTGGATTTGAAAATTGTGGAACTCTAACTGAAAAATCTAAAATTTTGTTTTCTACACTCAAGTCCGGATGAAAAAGCCTGTGCGGTTAACCAGAGCGTCGCACCCCCGTCATCTATTTGAACGCTCAACCGCGAGACCGACCTTGAGGTCAGCCTTGCCCTCATGAGTTACTGTGTATTTCCCTCGACTTGCAAGTGTAGAAGCTAAACAATTTCGTAGACTTTTATTCTCAAATTCCAAACAATATTTTTTTTAAATAGCTCAAATATCGCGAGCAACGATCGATTGATTCAACATAAATCCACAATTATAGTATGTAGACTCAATAGAATAACTCCAAAGTTTATAATAAATGAGAAAAATACACAACATATTTAGTATATTGCGAATATTGTAACAGGACTCAGAGAACGCGTGTCTTGTATCCTCGCGACAAATCATAACAATTTACATGTATGAATAGAGCAACAAAATAAAAGCATATAGGTACATATTTGACTGATGTAAAAGATCTTAGCAATACTCGCAATGATGATTTGTGGCATAGTAGAGAGTTTACACTTCACCCAAGATGAGTTTACACATTTACACAAAATGTAAAACATTTTTATAATGATTTCAAGAGTTACAACATAAATAGCAGCTACAAAAATGGCTTTTGCCGATAAAAAATAAGTATCTCAAAAATTCATTCCGTTTAAAATAGTAGCTAGCGAGATCCGAGCGTCTGGTATAGGTATATTATCTGAGGCCTGCATCATAGTGCATCAGGAGCATTTAACGTGTTACATACTTCAAAATTGCAAACTTGTATTATTTAAGCATATTAAAAAGACCGTAACTTGGATAGTCGTAAGACACAGCACGAGTAGCATCACAAAGACTTTGATCTTAAGGCATGGAAATATGGCTTCTAAAATGTCATTATTCTTTACATAATATTTCATAGACGATGAGCATTTCAACCCGGCAACAAATATTATCAACATTTATAGACATTACTAATATGGATACGTAGCTTAATTTAAACACTAACTACATTTTATTGAGTTGTATCTTATCAACACAAGCAAAATCGACAAATTACCCTAGAGGACAATGCACTACCAGTTTATCAGACAGAGAAGATTAAGGATTATCATAACACGCAATAATCAGCCGCAGAACGGCGAGAATAAAAAGGATTTTCATAGGATACAATAACCATGTCGGGTCGGACATGGTTTTGTACCATCACAGATACTATTGGTATCAAGACATATGACAGGGACCACGTCACGGATACTATTGGTATCAAGACACAAGACAGGGACCAAGTCACTGATACTATTGGTATCAAGACACATGACAGTGACCATCTAAATGACTCGTATTATAAAAACACGCGATAGTAATCATGTTGAGACATGGTTATATATTATCACCGATAATAGTAGTAACAAGACACATGACAGGGACCACGTCACTGATACAATTGGTATCAAGACACATGACAGTGACCATCTAAATGACTCGTATTATAAAAACACGCGATAATTATGTAGAGACATCGCCATACTCGGCGTTCCACGCTTGGAAGGCGGCGAGGCTGGCGGGAGAGACCGACTTGCGCACCTTCTTGAGACTCTGCAGGAAGTCGGCGACCGTGAGCTTGCGTACCTCGGACACCTGACACGACAGAACCTCCTCCACGCCAAGTTCTGTAACAAACAACTTATTTAATGGGTGAAGCTAGTCACATACTGCAAGAATCACCTTATTTAACGAGAGAAGCGAGTCACGTGCTACAATAATCATCTTATTTAGCAAGACTAGCGAGTCACGTACTGCAACAATCAACTTATTTAACGAGAGAAGCGAGTCACGTACTGCAACATTCACATTATTTAACAAGAGAAGCGAGTCACATACTGCAACAATTGCCTTATGTAACAAGAGAAGCGAGCTTTGAACTGGATTATTTACGAACGTTCACAAGTAATTACAGATATGCATTTATTCTGCCGGTACAGAGAATGAAACAATTACTGAAAGGTCTATCGCATGACTTCATTTGGATAATCACCACCTACACATGTATTTGAAATAAGAAACTGAGAAAGGCATAACGGACTTTTAAATATTATCAATAACAGCAGCTTGCATATGCATAAAATGCCATGAACCTCTAATTGGAGCAAGTGCAGCGTCCTTAGCAAGGGCGGTGAGATCAAAGCCCGAGTATCCGTCGGTAAGCTTCAAGTAGAACGTTTTAAATTTAAAACCCATTAGGAACAGCATAATATAAAGTTGAAATACTAGTAATAACAGCAACTTTAATAAAACGCAATGAACCTCTGATTGGAGCAAGTGCAGCGTCCTTTGCAAGCGCGGTGAGATCAAAGCCCGAGTAACCGTCGGTAAGCTTAAGGTAGAACGTTTTAAAACCTATTAGGAACGCATAATATAAAGTTGAAATACTATTAATAACAGCAACTTTAATAAACCGCAATGAACCTCTGATTGGAGCGAGTGCAGCGTCCTTAGCAAGGGCGGTGAGATCAAAGCCCGAGTATCCGTCGGTAAGCTGCGCGAGTTTGTCGAGCTGTTCGCTGGTGATGTCGCAGCCTGGCAGCTCACCGCTACCTGGGCTCTTGCCTGGCCCTGACGCGCCGCCCGAACTGTCCACTTTGGTCAGGAGTTTGTGAAGCAAAATGCGCCGTGTTGTGCAGTCTGGTAAAGACACGTATATGCGCTTGCTGAAACGTCTGAAAAAATGAGGTTATCGTTAGCAGTGTTTTACCGGTGTAGAGACCTCAATAAATGCAGTTCTGATGGTTTAAGTGTTGAATTTTTATTCATTAGATCGTTTACTTGTGATCATTTATAAGTGGATTAATTCAAAATTTCATAAGTACTACCGTACCTCACGAAAAAAACGACTGATTAGTCAAAATTTGAGATTTATTAATTTATTCAGCACATTAATTCAGAGATAATTGATTGTTCAAATTTGTCACATTTTAATTGCTTTCCTATTTCGGAATCACAAAATTGATTTAATAGTAATAGGAAACCCATAATGCAGCCACCGAGCAAACTAATGTAGTACTATTTCTACCAGAACCTAAAAGGGCATTTGCCCAAAAAAAATTAACTCAGTACTCACTGCAGCGAGTGACAGAGAGCGCATTTTCTCGTCGACGAAAACGTGGTCACGGACAGACGGACAGGCAGATGGACGGACATGACGAGCACAATAGCGCCATTTTTTCCATAAATGAGAAAATGCGCTAAAAAGTAACCCTATACCTGAGGTGCTATTTCTACCAGAACCTAAAAGGACATTTGCCTGCAAAAAATAAGTAATGCTATACCTGAGGGCGGCAGCGTCCAGCTCCTGAGGACGGTTGGTGGCGCCCATGACGAGTACCCGGTCGTCGTTCCTCGTCCTGACGCCGTCGAACTCGAGGAGGAACTGCGTCTTGAGCCTCCGTGACGCCTCGTGTTCACCCTCACGACGCTCGCACAGCAACGAGTCGATCTCGTCGATAAACACGAACGACGGCTGAGTGAAGACAGAAGGGATTAAATTGACTTAAAAGTAAACTGTTTTGAACAAAATCGATTCTGATACGAACTCTCATGGCCCAAAAACCGGTGGAGAAATTATATTTATTTCGACATCAATAATGTTCTATGAAAAAATGGATGAATTAGACAGAAGCAAAAAACGAATTCACCTGGAGTTCCTTGGCCAAAGCGAACAAAGCCTTGACGAGCTTCTCTCCCTCGCCCACGTATTTGGACGTGAGCGTTGAACAAGAGATGTTGAAGAATGTGGCGCAACTCTCGCTCGCCACGGCGCGAGCCAACATCGTCTTGCCATTACCTTAACATTCAAGACATGATAATTAATTCGCTCGCCACGGCGCGAGCCAACATCGTCTTGCCATTACCTTGACATTCAAGACATGATAATTAGTACACAATTAAGATCTGAATTGTCACCGTGGCATTTGAAGCTGAATTGTCATGATTCTCAACATTGCCATGATCTACAACGGTGATAGTGCCTCATTAATTTTGCTCATATATAGCAGCAGTTCCATAAGTCATGAATTATATCCTTTCAAACATATTTAAGGAAATTGATGTAAGTAATAATGAATATGAATGACGCTAGCACCAACCAGGAGGACCGAAGAGCAGGAGGCCCTTGGCAGGCGCCCTGAGTCCAGTGAACAGCTCCGGCCGCAGCGTGGGCAGGATAACCAGTTCATGCAGCGCCCTTTTGGCAACCTGCCGTGTCACGCTTTTGTTATAATGATAACTTACAGCCGACATCAAGTGACCAAATACATCTACATACTATACAGGACGGTACTGTGAAAAATATATACATATACATACTATACAGGACGGTACTGTGAGAAATATATACATATACATACTATACAGGACGGTACTGTGAGAAATATTTAAGTGTTCGCAACTCTCCTGCGCCAATACTTGGTCTGACACACTTACAATACTTTCTCAGTCAGCTCTGTTTACTTAGGCTACAATGTGTCCTCTAGCGAGTTTTGATTTCACGGTGCCAAGCTTTCCACATACAATGACTCAGACGACCTTTAACATGCCAATAGTTGTACTAAAGCATACTTTAGTACAATACATGTACCACTGACATGATTACAATACAATGGTCGTACTATTAAAGTACGACAATACTTGTACTACTACCAATAAAGCACACAGCTCATGTTATTTAGAACAATGATATCTACGGTCAATACAGTGCATTCCCAAGTACCTTACCAGCTCTTGTACCATCTTTAACGAATTCTTACGTCGGAATACAAAGAGATATTAATATAAGGCATATATTAAAGCGAGCCAAATTGAAAAAATATATAACTCAGTACTCACTGCAGTGAGTGACAGAGAGCGCATTTTCTCGTCGACGAAAACGTGAAGTCACGGACGGACAGACGGACGGACATGGCGAGCACAATAGTGCATTTTTTCCATAAATGAGAAAATGCGCTAAAAATTGAAAATGAACCCACCTCTTGGCCGGCGATGTCGTCCCATGACACTTCGGTTGTCTGCTCCAGGATCTCGTCGGTGATCACCTGGACATGAGTAACGCCATGAACTTTTGTGATAAAAGTAATCATAATAAACTGGAATGTGAAAGACAAAGGATTAAAATATGGGTAATTTTGAGTTGATATCAAAGAATAGGGAATACAAACAGAAAAGTAATTTTGAGTTCATTCATTGGAAACTTAAAGGGATTTCATGGTAAATGATTGTCGATAATATTACTTGGTTCAGTAATCAAGTTCATCAGTGACACTATACCGAACATAAGCAAATCTTCAATAATTAAAACTAAACAAGTGATATCCTTCTCAACAACTTTATCCGAGTAGATAAACGTTATTGCTGAAGCATTGGTTTCATAATTTATCAGCAATTAATTAAGTTAAGGCAATTAATTTGCAACAAAAATTACTTCCAGGAGCGAGACATGAGCAACAAAGCGAGAGCAGGGGCCATGCTATCAAACTCGCTGAAGTAAAATTAGCGAGCAATTTCTCGTCAGTGATTGGTGGGTTTAGCTTAGACAAACCATCAATGATTGGCTAACGGAGTTATGAACTCGGAGTTACGGCGCTACGGGCTCAATGATTACAAAGTTACGAGCTCAATGCTTACGGAGTTACGAGCTCAATGCTTACGGAGTTGCGAGCTCAATNATAATTAAAACTAAACAAGTGATATCCTTCTCAACAACTTTATCCGAGTAGATAAACGTTATTGCTGAAGCATTGGTTTCATAATTTATCAGCAATTAATTAAATTAAGGTAATTAATTTGCAACAAAAATTAATTACAGAAACGAGACATGATCAGCAAAGCGAGAGCAGGGGCCATGCTATCAAACTCGCTGAAGTAAATTTAGCGAGCAATTTTCGTCAGTGATTGGTGGGTTAGCTTAGAAAAACCATCAATGATTGGCTAACGGAGTTATGAACTCTGAGTTACGGCGTTACGGGCTCAATGATTACAGAGTTACGAGCTCAATGCTTACGGTGTTACGAGCTCAATGATTACGGAGTTACGAGCTCAATGATTACGAGCTCACTGATTACGGAGTTACGAGCTCGTAACTATCATTGATAGTATACAGCACAGTACCTGCGCTAGCCTGGGATCGACCCCCTTGAGAGCAGCGGACACGGCAGCAGGGGAGGCGCCCCTGCCTGGTCTCTGCTGTTGTCGCGATGCTTCCTTCACTGCTGCTCGCTGTCTCTGCTGTGTACACGCATCAATATTAAGGGTCAAAAACTATTATTTGCACTTATTGCATGTGTTTTAACGAGAAGCATACATATGAAGGTGTAAATATGGGTAAATCAGTTCATTAGTCTATTCCTGATGTATTTCTTTCAATTGCACCATTACTTTATTATTTTCTGTACCTGGAAAGAAATTGTTTAACACGCGCACAAAAGATTAAATAAATGTACCGGATGTACCGGTATTTATTTATATACTTTTAGAATTCCGGAAGTGAACTTCCCTACCAAGCGGACCAAAGCTGGTCCGCTTAAAGCATTCTAAAATTCGCTTACTCCGTCTCTTCTGACTTACAATTATAGCGGTGAGGATCAAAAGCAAAATTTTCGAATCTATATCAAAAGAATCTAATGAGAATGCAGATATTTATTGCAATTCGAATCAAATTTAACCGCCCAGTTTTAAGCGTAACGCAAGCCGATCAATTCGGACATTGGACAGTACAAATTAACACTGAAACACATCTTGATAGGAGGTTTGAATAACCTACTTGAAGATTCACGACGTTCAAAATGCACATAACACACCTGGGGCCCAGCTCTAGGCCCGGTTTGGCCGGGTCTGCGTAGGCCCGAGTCCACTTTAGGACCCACTTTTGATGACCCAGCAAACGTTGGCCGCTGATTGGCTGGTCGTGTGGAGTTAGGAGTCGTGGCTGTTTTCTTCGTCCCGGCTGTTGGGATGTCATCATTAATTAAGGGAAATATTCGTCCAAAATATCAGCTTAAATATATATAAACAATTGGCGCGTAGTAATTCGGCGACAGTTAAACGTTCGTAAGCCGACTAAATTAAAAAAAATCTATCCAAACCTAAAGAAAACTGCACGAAAAAAATAAATTATGTCCTTCATAAATACCGTACTCAAAAGACAAGATGTGAAAAAAGTGAAGAGTCGTGACATTACAAGGAAACAAGCAACACCGCGTTCTTTGTTGCATGAACTTGACGAGGTGCAGAATTAACTTTATTAAGATACACTCAGACAATAGAGTGTGACTGCGTTCAAATAGCGATGCATTTTTTTACTTCGAGTTGGTCATCCTGACTTATTTTGGTGCAGCAAAACTGCATATCACAAAGTTCAATTATTTGGACTTAATGAACACTTAATTTTTCTGTGTGATAGGCAAGAAACGAAGGCTTCACTTATAATTAACGACTAGTTGACCACACTTACTTTTGTGGGTTCAACACCTCAAAACTTAGTTCAAATTCACGTGCTTACTTAAAATTTAATTTGGAACTATCCGAATTTTCACTATAAACAATTTTGAAACGTGCTTTGGCGAAATTCCAACGTTTCGAATTTTTTTAGACGACTAAAAATATTTGGTAATATATAAGTATAATCAACGGATTTGAGAGCTAGAAGACAAGCAAAAATGCATAGGATAAGAGATTTATCAAACAAAAAAGGAAATATTAGTGAAGAAATTGCTGCAAAACTTACGTTCAAAACAAACGGCTAAGCAAGAATGCAAAATTAGGAACCATCATAGGAGCAATGCATTTAAGAAACATGTTCAGAGAAGGATTGTTACTGCTCTGCAGACATCAGCAAAACTAATTTGTTAACAGTAACCATGAGTTAGCAAAGTAATTAATGTATGAATATTAGTAATGAGTTAGTAAATCAATTAGTGTATGAAAATTAATGAGTTATATGAACAATGGCAGGAAGCAACTGTCGAGCGGTGAGGCAAATAGAACTGACGATGTCAAGACTGCAAAATTTTAGGAAAATGTTAATGCCAAGAGGAAAAGTTGATAGAATGTCAGAAGTGATTTATGTTGAAAGATTCATATAAATTATTTGATGCAGAAATGTAAATGAAATGAAATAAGGAGCCCAAAGTTGACTAATAGAATCCGACGATAAAACTTTACGAATACATTTGAGCTATAAAAATTTGATAGGAAAATCAGACGCCACTAAGTTATGGAATGGAATTAGACACAATAATAACGTAAAAATTGAATAGAATAGATTATGTTATAGAAATAAATGCTATAGAAAAATAAATGAATAATAATATAGAATAGAATAAATAAATAAATGTTATAGAAATAAATGAAGAGCATATAAATTTAAATATAGCGAATAATGTTTTGTAATTTTGACATGAATTAAACGTGTGGGAGCGACTGCACGTCGTTCGAAACTCGAACGTCGAAATTCGTGAGGGCCAGATGCGATCTGGGAATTGATGAATAGGGGCAGCGGAGAGCGGGAAAAGCAGACAGAAAAATGGGGATGGAGAAGCTGAATAAGAAGTGGAGGGTTGGTCCATGAGGAAAACGCAATAAGAGAAAATTTGTATGAGATCGAAGAAATAGTGTAAATTAAGTTTCATTAAATTGCGACAAGGAATAACGACTGAGCTTCGTGGATACCAATCGAATAAATTTAAGAGAGTGAAGGTGAACACAGAATAAAATTTAAAGATACAGATCGAATAAATTTGATGATGATGTTCGAATGTAATTTTATAACAGAAGTTCGAAAAAATTAACGAATAATACTGAATAAATTCGAAGAACAAAAGTAAGACGTTCGTTAGATGAATACCTGGGGAAGGTGCACTTTTATGAGGAACTCTTGGGGAGGAGGACTGTGGGGATGCAGCTGCGTAAGTGAACGCAAAAGCGGGACCTTGCGTCGTCCCCTTAACCTGGGGACGCACGCGAGCTTTCGGCTTCTCTTTAACTGGGGAAGAATCACTGCTATTTGTGTTGCTTATCGCTAATTCCCGAGAGGAAGAAACTTGACTAGCATGGGGAAGAATACGATTCGGGGAATTTCTGAGCGGCGAAGTCGGTTTTGCTAAGGGGAGCTGATCCCGGGAGGGACAAGGGGCTGGTGATCGTTTTCCAGGGGAAACAGACCGTGTCCCCAGGTTGCTGGGGTATAACTTGCTGGGACTGGGGCACACGTTGGGGTTCCTCACCCGCATCGTTGGGGAGGTGGGGATGGCGTTAGCCGCCAAGACGCTGCTGTTGATCACGGCGTTTTCATCGGAATTGAAATCCTCACCGTAAACCTCGAGGGGGAGTTGTGGGGCATTTAGGGACCGCCGTGGGTTGGGGGATCCACGCGAAGTCCCTCGTGGGGACCGAGAATTGTCAAGCAAAGCTAGGGGATATTTCGATGGAGAGTTGTGGGGCATTTAGGGACCGCCGTGGGTTGGGGGATCCACGCGAAGTCCCTCGTGGGGACCGAGAATTGTCAAGCAAAGCTAGGGGATATTCCTGGGAGGGTCGGGGCTCTACTCGCGGGGATTGTGGGGACCGAAACTCTAGTTTCTGGGGGCGGTCCCGGTGCTTAATGTAGGTCTGGCGTCGGGACCGGGTTGGGGAGTCACGGGGAGAGTCACGGGGGGACTCGGGACAGTTGGGGAGGAGAGGGGGAGAAGATCCGTCTAGTGACAGCTCCCGTAGATGCGCAATAGAATCTAAAGAAGCAAAACATAGGGCAAAATAAATAAAAAAATTTAAAATATAATTTAAGACAATTTTTTAATGATTTAAATGAAAGTGAGTACAATTACGAATTATGACTGGTTGAAATTTGATGGCAGCAAACTTAAATTTAGGTGACAATGCAGCAATAAAATGCAACACAACATTCAAATTGTAATGGAAACCAATGAAAGCGAACAAAAATTAATAAAAGTAACACAACCATCTAACAATGGATTTTTTTAATTACAAATCAAATGGATTTTTTTAATTAAATTCAACAACGGATTTTTAAAAATTACACATTCATGCATGTTTCTCTATAAGTTGATAAATAAAACTTCTTAATAATGAGAGGCGGCCATAAAAAATTATTCTTATGGCGGCAATTTTTATAGTAACTGAGACATTTGACTATTTCAGGTCATACATTCCTTTCGATCAACTAGCCAGGGTGGCTCAATCATGCATGTAACAGAAGCAACTAACTAAATTACTATACAACATAGTGTTACACAACAATAAAAAAATTAAAGTTTAACATTCTTTCCAGCTAGGTTAGTCAGCATTCGTGTTCCCTGCATACAAAAAGCAGCACTATCAACGTTAAGCGCTGCAGAGGCATAGCAGAAAATAATGTTGCACTCACCTCCAATCCCCGACATATGGTAGTTTACTAAGTCTAAGAATCTCCATAATTCAAGTCTCTAATACTAGGTACTACTTATTAACAAAATAACAACACTTATGAAAGAAAACATGAGATACTCACCCAAAACAGTGAGTCTGTCAGTGGCCATAGCGAGGTTTGCAGCCATCTTATCCCTGAAGCTCAGTCTACAGATCTCCATAATTCAAATCCCTATTACTTATTAACAAAATAACAACACTTATATGAGATACTCACCCAAAACAGTGAGCCTGTCAGTGGCCATAGCGAGGTTTGCAGCCATCTTATCCCTGAGGCGGCGGGCGCGATCGTACTGCTCTCCTCGGCCGTCCACGTCCACGGCCACGCCAAGCTGCAGTTCGGCTATACCACGCCGATACATCGCCATTGCGCCGCTCTTGTCCACTGCGCCACAAATGACACGCAATGAACGTTATATTTATATATATAAATATTGGCGTCCACAGCCACGCCTAGCTGCAGTTCAGCTATACCACGCCGATACATCGCCATTGCGCCGCTCTTATCCTCTGCACCATAAATCACACTCAATGAAAGTTATATATACCTACATGCAAACATCAAATAAACATGAAATATATCAACGAAAATTTATGTTATAATAATCAAGATTTATACGAACTCTGATATAAAATGTTAGTATGAAAAACATTTGTCGTTTCGAAATAAACTTAAAGACTACACCATCAGTGAACTAAAATTGGTTTATTCAAGGTTTTGAGTGTAAAAACGGTTATATTAACCCAAGCTTTGGTTCACAGGTCAGCATAGTTCACAGGACCGTGATGGTTACCTAGCTTGTAATCTCAAGTGGCTATCGCACTCCCTCCCTCCACAGCATTGTTACACAGCGTTAATATCACTATGATAGATAAGCGGGCACTGAAATGTGGATACTCCACACTTTCCTGCTATATTGCAATGTCGTGAGACCAACCCTTGCCGTTATTTTACCCAGCAAACGCGGTTACCTGCGATTCGAACTGCTGCTATGCTGCAATGTCGTGAGACCAACCCTTGCCGTTATTTTACCCAGCATACGCAGTTACAAGCGATTCGAACAAGTACTAAGCTGGATTTTTTAAGTAACTTTGAACAACCATAGCAGCCAAGAGGAGGGAACTTGAAAGTTAAAGTTGGGTTTTGGTTTTGGATGTCAACTGCGTACAATTATACAGCTTAAATATTAGTTTTTTTAGAGATGAAGTATCTGACACATCCGGTTTCACAATTTTCAATCGAGAATATGGTGGAGTCTAAAGGGTCAATAAACCCAAGCTTGCCATATAAGGCTCGCCAGTTCTGACACAACTGCGAAAGATTTTTAAAAATAAAATGTTTTAGAAGTCAAGCTTAGTTGATGTGTGACTCAGATGACTCCAACTATATAGGTGCGTAGGGAACTCTGAGTATAACTGATATTTTTACCAATTTTGCGATCATCGTCGGTAATAAAAACATTTTAAAAGTTATTAGTTTAGAAAATTAACTCATCTGGGTCGTGGATATTACGGTGTTTAGTTTCTACAATGTCAGATCCTAAAATAGATATAAAAACTGCCGCTCATGTCCATACAAGCTAGGATCGAGAGACTGCGTGGGCGGCGTACAGAGAACATCCCACACTCATAAAAATGAATGGGCCATATTTTCCAAAACAAGACACACTTTATGCACGTAACACTTATACGCTCTTTTGCCGGGCCAAGCTGGATCAGAATGACTCAAACGAGGGCAGGACAAAATATCACTTCGCTATCAGGACAAAATATCACTTCTTTCTTCGAGTACAAGTAAGAACTCTGGTGAGAGGTTTGACTTACAACGCCATTATTGGCGAGGTTTGTGATTGTTGCATCTTAAAAAAAAGGTTAGTTTGGCCCATGTTACGTGCAATGCACGTATGTATCCTACATGACCGATGCAATTAAAGTAGGCACATGACTGCAAGCCAGCCGGCTTCGGTTAAAAAACTACCAACGTACGGTACATGGAATTTAGGGGGTTCATTTGTCATAATTTAACTTAGGAATTATTTCCCTGGACCATGAATTTAGCTAACAACTACACAAGGAACGTCCTACAAACGTGAATGCTTGCTTATAAGTTCAAAGCCACATATTTGCAGTACAATGTGGATGCGCCTCAGAATCATGGCAATCCGTTCAACGTTTGCTGCTTAGTTCACACGTAATAATTCAAGAGAAATATTTTATTTTGGCCTATCAAAAAGCTTGAACAGCGCAGAGCATTCCGCGCCAGGAATAGCAAGTTGACCTGTCAGACTACCGGCCGTGGCAATAAACTTTCTGATCAACTGCTTCTGTCTAGATGTCTGATAACTTGCTTCTGAGCAGCTAATCCGGCTTCCATTGGAATCGAATGCACTGATACACCCGTGGGCATATATCTATCGTATCTCACTCTACACGCTGGCATGTGTTTACGTATCTTCCTCTACACATTGGTATATATCTATACGTATTTCCCTCTACACGTTGGCATATATCTACGTATCTCTCTCTACAAGTTGACATATATCTACGTATCTCCCTCTACAAGTTGACATATATCTACGTATCTCTCTCTACACGTTGGCATATATCTGCATATCTCCCTCTACACGTTTGCACGCGTTCGCACAAGTTGCAGGTTCGTCTCAAGAGGTTCCGTGGAAGGTCAGAGCTGCCACACCCACAGCCTCACATCTGGGGTCTTGGAAGCCAGTTTAGCTTAATACAGATCGTCTCTTAAACGCACCCACAACAATACACTTCATAGTAACGAAACTTGCTACCTACTGTTTAAGCGAAGCATCCAAATTAGGTTTACGCGATTGTTATCGCAGGCTTCTAATAACTATTAACTTGTTCGCTACGGTGATCACAATGTCATGATAATTAAGGAGATACTCGTGCGATAAAGGATTAGCTTTGCAAATATTTCAGCGTGACGAGCTTTGAACGATCATTTCATAAGGTACGACTATCATGTCAATCATTCAACTGTGAAAATTCAGTCATGACTCGATATAAGAACACCGTGAGGTGGAAAACGAAATAAGTTGTCGGCAATATAAAAATGAAAATTTAAGCTCACTTCTAACGATATTGAACGTCGTCACTAAAAATTTGAAAGCGACGTGGGTTTGCAGTACTATTCTTTAATGCTGAAAATTTTTAAAATATATCTTAGTGCCTTCTATGGTCAGGACTTGAGTCACTTGACCCATGCCATCGACCGTGTCGCATGGAAGAGACTACGAAGGACAAACCAGTTCTTTGAGCAATGAGCATCTTCTGCACTGCCAACGTCATAAAGATCCACACTTAATATTAACAGTAATATCAGCATCCTTAAATGAGATACTGAAGAAAACTTCAACAGTCATTCACTCAAACATTTGATTAGTCGCGGATGGAGAAGAGCAGAAATAGAGACTTCGTTACAAACTAAGCGAGCCTATAGCAATGGCGTCATAGTGGTGCTTTTAACCAATTGGTAACTAAATTTTGTGCTTAATAGAGATAATATTTAATTTCATCATTATAATAAATTGACAGAACAACGGCCGGGCTACATATGCATATGATTAATTATCAATATTTTCGTCAAATCCTTTGCTGCTAATCCTGTTCGTTACAGTCGTGCTACTCAAATTTAGAGCAACCTTACAACATAGATTAAGAGCATTTAATAAGAAATAGCAATTGTAACGAACCTAGGCCCTTTAAAAACTTATAAAACCTCAAGTTTTCCGGTATAAATGTCTCCAGTAACGACACAAGTGTTTCATAATATTTTTTATATTGGCAGGCGCATAGTGATTAAAAATTCTCGAATATCTTCCCTTTCCCAGTACAGCGCATCCAATAAAACGCATAAAGAAGCAAGTACGTTTCTAATGTCAAACAAAAGGATTCAAGTATAAGCAGATAGCCTTGACCGTCAGGTCGAAGCTCGCTGGGTGTCTGTCTTCTCACAGTTCCCAGCGTCCACCCCCACCTAACCTAGCGGCACTGACTAATGTGACTCACGCCCAACAGGTGTTACACTAATCAATGCTAATCCATTTCCTACAAGCTCGCCGTCGTCGTTGGAAGCAGCAAATGAAACTAATACAATCAAACTACGGTATTTCATTTTCTATTGATTTCGGGTCTGAAAAAATGTTTAAATTAGGAACACGCTCATCATCTCACAACTTGATAAATAGAACTTGAGTGCAAGCCATGACATATTTATCCAGCACAACGATGATAAATATTAGAAATCGGTAATAGCAACAACGTGTATCATTACGACCACTAATCAAATGGGCTTTTAACGACATTCTGTTACCAAGAAACTTGGTACACATGATCTATAAAAAAAATATCTCAAAGCATACAAGGTATACCGGAAACGTGGTCACGTTGCCTGAGTCGTTCATAGGAAATCGATTAACATGGACGTGAAGCGCGGGCAATACTACTGCTACTCGGGATCAAGGCCAATAATTTCGCCAACTCCCGCAGCGTTCTATACTTAGAAAAGCAATGATTAAATAATTTAATATACATAACATCAACGTAATTTGGGGCCTATTTTACCGCGTTTTTGTAATCAATTTGTAATAATCAAAAGAACGGAAATCACTCTTTCAATTAATACATAGATATTTACTAAGAAAGTGTGATGAGGTGCAGGGAACGCTCGAGTTAGGTACCTAACTTAAACAGGTCACCAAACTAGTACAAGAAAAAATTGATACATGAACTTAGAAGTCTACACAGAAAGAATACATCATACAAACACGTGTGCAACTCACCCTCATTGTCCTCATCAAGCTGAAGGGCTTTAGAGATGCATTCGAACGCCTTCCTGTGATGGTGCTTCTGCTTGGCAAGCATAGGGTCTCCGGGCACGACTGTAGCCATGATACGAGCGGTCTTCGAATGAGAAGTTCGTTCGTCGTCTAGCAGCACTGATCGTTCGTCGTCTAGCAGCACTGATCGTTCGTTGTCTAACAACACTGATCGCCAAGGTTTGAGCAGATAGCCGACCAACAGATACAAGTGAGTGAGAACAGCTATGAAGTAGCTTAGTAATGTGAAGACTACCTCCACCAAGTGAGTTTTGAAAAACATTGAGGCATCACAGTCACAAATAACTGTGTGCCTATAGCACTCCAATCAGCTGTTTTTAAATTTCAGTAAATTGCCCTTGGCAACAAGGCTTAGAATTTGCCCATAAATAGGTAGTAATCTTGTTGAGATGCCAATTTAACTCAAAAAATATTCTATGATCACGACTTTAATGGATCAATTACACCAATGCCATTTCTTCATGTCACCTGTTTTGAAAAATGAAAACAGTGCTACTACACATATATATTTAAGTATAAAATACCTACTCCAGCTAACACCTGAAAAATGATAATTATTATTAGTTCGAGATCAATCAAAAAGTCATTAACCAGACCCCAGAGAATGTGATAGGATCGAGGTTTCTTCATTAACAACTTAGAATATATGTATTTATACCTATATGTGCCTGTGTGTAATTGCTTCATTGCCATATTTTTGCAGGTCTTGTGTCAGTCTCATTTTTTACAATGAATAATTAATAATACTTAATTTTTCTTTCATTGAAAGAACTTTTAAAAATTCCCAATTTTTTTTCAAGACCATGAATGATCTCATAACTACCGTACCTATAAAGCAAACTGGATAGAAATAAAATACACATGAGTAAAGTTGATTCAATTCCTATTATCATCAGACTTAACATATGTAGTATATAACCTCAACTAAGCATTGCTGATTTGAATGAAAATAGAGAGGGACTGGATTTAATAACTGGATTGTCATTATTTAGTCACATGCACATAACAGTACATACATTCTGAGAAATTTTTAACAGGTTAAGCCACAAGGCTGTTGTCATTAATGGACTACTATATTATATAATATAATAGCCACTATCCAAGATAAACTCATTTTTTTAACTGTCTGCCTGTACACTCCCAAGCTGAAGTACAGTAGTAGTACTCTTGAGTAAAGCTGCCAAAAATTTGTCACCAAAATTATTAGTGTTTCCTCAAATAGTAATTATATATTTTAGAAGAAATTTTTCTAACTATACGGTGAACTACAGTGGTACCTTGGTACTCAACCATAATCTGTTCAGAGGTGAATGTTAAGCAACGATTTGCTCTAACACCAAAACCAATTTTCCTACAAGAAATAATAAAAAATATTTTAATCCATTCTTACTATTAATAAAAATATATATACCGGTACCTAAAATATCATAAGAATGTGTATCTAAACAACAATAAAGACATAAATGTGCACAAGTATGGTAGTATATATATACATGATAGAGATAAATAAAGCATTATAAACCATTTTGTATAATTTACCTACCATCAACTGGGGTGACTTCAGCCACAAGGGGTGACTTTGGCTTAATATTGTCATATTGAAAATTGGTTGACATTTCTAATTATTGTGTCTATGTTAAATATATATACAATATACTAGCACAGCCCATTTAGCCATCTAGAAATAACAATATTTCCAAGTTTTACAGTACATTAAGAGTAAGCAGGTCTCCTTTGCTTCTTAGGAGTTAAGCTTACTTGTACAGTGTACATGATGGATAAAAAAAATATTTTAGCAAATAGATTTCCAGCATTGACACTTATTCTTCAAGCCATAACTATACTGTATGTATCAAAGTACAAGGCCCTTAAAATATATTTGCATTATGAAGTGGCAACAAAAAAAAACTATGTATTGTTAAAGTAAATTTTAGTCCTCTGGTTACAAAAAGAAAATTTAAATGTTGCTTAATCAAAATCTTGCTTAAAAATCATTTTACCTTCAAAAATTGCTATCTTACTACTTGGATGACACAACTTAGGTTTCAACTCTTCAAAAATGAAAAATAAACAATATATGAAATAATGAAAAAACTGAAGCAGAAAAATTCATTGTATAATATCTCCCAGAGTTTTTCATTTTATTAGATTGTTGTCTACATAAGTTTTCTCAATAAAAAAAAGAAACTGAGTAAAAAAACTCTTTCATTGAAACAATGAGAAAACTTTTTCATTGTAATTTATTAAGGAAAAAACACTTCACTTTACACTTGTGTTAGGAAAATTCTTTTCAGAATATTGTAATAGCCAAATAATTATTTATTACAATTATTAGAATAGAGTATTTATTTCAAGCTCATGACATAGAAAAAATAAAAAAATTATTTCTTGGTGTCTTCCAAAGTTCCAATAAATTCAATAAACCTATATTATTATTTATTATTAGGCTTTATATATATTATATATATTTCCTTCAAACAATTTGATAACATTCAAAAACAAACATTTAAAATCATTTAATTAGCATTTAGAAAATTTAAAACAAAAAAAAACATTTAACCATTTAGCGGGCAAGCATTGAAATATCCAGAAATTAAAATTTCAGAAACCATTTCAAGAAAGTAAGAAGTATTATACAATATATTTATTTATATGATTTTTTTGCAAATTTTGCCTATTGAAGGTTTAATTCACACTTGAAGAATTCAATAAATGCGATCAGTACACAAAATTTTTATTTATAATTAAAATTCAGCTTATGCAAATAAAAAATTAGAAACATAACAATTTAATTTAATTAAATTTAATCAAGTTGCCAAAATAAATAAATATATATATTGATACTTCCAAATTTTGAAGAAAATGCGGAAAGAGCGTCAATTCCTTTGTCCGAGTCAAAACCTTCATTTAAATGCTCATATTTCAATTTGTGGACTTTGCAGCTGAGCTGGTGATGCTATACCTAGATAGCCTAGAACGATGGTCAGTTAATTAGGGATAGACTGAAGCATTAGAAGGATGCCTCAAAAACAAACAGGAAACCGTGGTGAGGCTTTTTGTGACGCGATTGCAAGTGATCATATATGGTAACTTACCCGTGAAAGGGTTAAAACATTTAAAAATCGTTTTATCTCAGTCTAAAAATGACTCAGTGGCTGGCAGCCTGGCTGAATCTGAGACTGAGGCTCTCAACTTTTACCAGTGTATATAACTAATAACGTCATTGACAACACTCAAAGCGGCATTGCCACCAACGGACAGTCGGGCACTAGCACCAAGATCAAGTCTCCCACTTGCCAGTCGCCACAGCAATAACAGCATCAGTGTCGCTGTCGGCACTCGGCATAATAATATTGAAAGCCTTCAGAAGAAATTATCTGTTTTAAAAACTAATCGAAGCCTAATCTAAATTTTGAACTACAATTAGGCCTATAACACTTTTGTACTTCGTAATACGGTTATAAAAGTTATGCTACTCGAACGATCGATCATAAAAATCGTAGTTCAAACTTCTAAGATAGTAACGACTCAACGGTTTTTATTGAGGAGCGGAGGCGTGCGAGGTAAATTAAAGTATTTGCCGAGAAGTCAGGCAACTTCTTTGCCAATTGCAATTGATGGTACCTACACACCAACAAGAATCAAGTTGCAGGATATTTTCATTTGCCTAGATACCGGCATGCTGCGAAAAATTGTCCGTGAAATTAAATTTAAACGTATTGATGGTCTCAAGCGGCGGTCAAGTGTTGATGTTGTTTAGCTATCCAAATAGATTAATAAAGAATAGAGACACAAATTATGCACATTTCACAATAAACGGTTAATTTGAATCTATATTCGATACGAAAAATTAATGATTTTATTTTAAAATTATTTCTGAATTGACAAGGCAATAAACTAGCTTCTCTTCCCCGCGCGCACACACACACCACTCACTACCAGTTCGAAGCAGCAACTGAAGTTACTGAACTTGGCAACTTGCTGAAGACGGAGGACTGTCCGACGGATGACCAATGAAGTGAGAAGCGGTAGCAAAATTACTTTGTCAGTTTATTCATAAAATCTGCATTGCTTCTCAAGCTTACCGTTTACAGCACATAACACAGCAACATCGGCGTTAACCAGATGGCAAAGTTGCATTTCGCCAATTCTTATAATGCTATTGACTTGTCTCTTGGGGATATGAGGACTGGCCTTCTGACCAAATCTATCAACTGACGTGTGACGTTGCAGTAGCTGCTGAACATCAACCAGTGAAGGAACCTTTTTTCGAAAAATATACTCGTGCATAGCTTCATATAGTTTGTTCTAACATGGTGCATCTACAGTACACTATTGTAACAACCACTGCACACGTGGCTGCAACAAGGTACCGCTGGCCAGTACCCCGATGCACGAGGATCTGGGTCTTTGAAACTGTGGGATTTTCATTATTTTATAATCTCTTTCAGTGTGTCATTAGTAGCAGCAAAATGACTGATGAGGTAACAATTTCTTTCTCGTTGATTATTATGTCACCTGCAAACAACATGCTGGATGTTGCGTGAAAAAAATGAGTTAAACAAGGTTAATTTAATTGATCACGGATTAAAATGTTCACGAATTTCGATGCAATTAAGCTAACATTTGCTATAAATAAATATTGAACGACTTCATTCTTAGACAATCTGGTAGCCGTTTGTTGGCCACGTGATCTGATACTGGCCGCCACTAAATTGCTGCCACAAATGAATCCAGTAAATTCCAAGACAAGGCCATCAGCCAGAAATAAGTGGCGGTTAATACTGGCCTCATATAGTGGCTGTCATACGTGGCAGCGCGTGAATCCTCCTTATTAAGTATTTAAAAACCGCAATTCTACATTTACTCTACAGGTCCAAACGCTTTGAACATAATTTTTCAACCAATGATAAAGTAAAGAATTGAAATGTAGATGAAAACAGAAGGAAAATAATTTACGAAATGGTTTATTTTTATTTATTCTAGACACTCACCAATTCAGCATCAACAATGACCACGCATATTGAACTAAAAATTACGGTCTAGGAAAACAATTCCTAAAGAAAACGGATTTTTCTAAATTTTGATTTATATCTTCGATTCTTCAAATCTTTGAATTCATACATGAAAGCGATGCATATACATCACGTGGAATGTACATTTCTGATGCGCTCAGAACCATTGACCATCGCACTCGTTATGCATATAAATTAAAACACCTCTCTCATTTATGCAATTAACAACTTAACCAGATTTCAACGATTTTCAACGCATAATTTGGGATAATTTTGATAGTTTTATACCCATTCGAGCTCAAGATTATTAGTAGAATCGAACAAACTCTCAAACTAGCAACACAGTTTACCATTATTACATGGAATACGATATTATTATGCAATACGTACCACATTAATAGCCCCCATGGTTGAATTAATATATTATTTCAACCATGAATAGCCCCCATCTGATTCGACACACAAATTTCGAAAGGTAATATTTATAACAAAATACCATCATTCCCGCAGCAATATACAAAGAAGAAACGAACTAATTTCCATGATTACATTGAACACTATATATAGTATCTTTATTGAGTGAACATTTCATGCAGGATTCAACATGCATTGCAAGTAGACAACATACGGAGCATGTATAGGCAACATAAAACATTACGGAATACATAACATAGTAGTACTTTGATGTGTTATTCTAAGCCATTTATAGATTCGTGTATGATACTTCAGCATTGCCTTATATTGAATAAACATAATGTTCGTGCAAATTTATAGCATGTTGATTAACGACATCAATGAACATTTGTATACAACATTAATATTGGATACAAATGTGAGGGTATTGTGTTCAAATGAAACTAAACTAACTATACTCTCTCGCCGTATTCAAAATTATACAATAATTTTAGGTTGAAGCCCAGCACTGTAAAGTGTACATGCGTATCATAAATTGTATCTAGCATACCAACATTATTGTAATCAATATTTTCAGAATTGCATACATCTATGTCACACAATATTCGTATAACTGGTCAAACCTCTTATACGTAAAACTTATTCATTCAGCCGAACTTAACACAACTACTCACTGTATTCTTCATTCATACAGCAAAACTTCACACAACTACTCACTCTATACAGATAGGTCAGTAAGGAGTAAGGTTCCTAATAAATGCCATTGTTCTATCGTAACGTCATCAGTCACTAAGATTTCAACGTGAAAAAACCTACGATTCTCCTGCCAAAAACTATCAAAATCTAACTATAGAGCTTCGTAAATTCTTAAGGCATATTCAAGTGTTTCTCAACATTGCGGAACCTCGAGGAAGAACATCAATACTGACCAGGTTAACATTCATCAATATTTAAAATCTATTTGTAATAGAGTCGGAGGAATAGGAATCGTGCAAGTCATTCAGCCACATACGAAAGAATATTAAATGAAAATTTAACGTAATGAGGAATTGTGTTTTTAGAGCGTAAATTATAAGTCGAAAAAGAACTATAATTAAATTTCAGATTTAGTACACGCGGAAGCAGATTTCTCCAAAATTTGCTTTCAGTTGGAATAGGAGCGAATGTAGTACCAATAATCTGTCTGATAATTAAAATTAATTCAAAATTGATGAAGTAATTGATGTAATTGTGCTTCGTTAACCGAATAACAGGCGGTCACGTTAAGGACGACAATCATCAACGGTCCGTGAAATTGTCAACAAATCACAAGTTCTTCTTTATATTTACTATCAAATGTAAAATTCAGGCACATTATATCTTATCATAAATTATAACACCTGAATTCAATAATTTCAAGTTCAAACGCCGAATTTTGTACATATATATTGAAAATATATCTAATACCATATATAATACTAATGAAAAATGTATCTACACTGTTGAAGTAAGTAGTATAATTGAATATATAAGTAATTTCAATGGGTTTTTCGTTTCGATTCTTGTTATATCAGTGAAGGAACTGACTTTGCCCCTCTCAAGTGACGAATAATTTCATATGAAAACAGTTGGAAAACAATGATTTCACTTGCAAGAGTTTTATTCTAACAGATTGTGTTGAATTTCACGTAGCATTTACTCAGAGATAAGTAATATAAACCTCGTTGTTTGTTATTTTAAAGCCATTGATTTGTTGGAGACAATACTCCACACACAAACCGTTTCTCAACATTAAGGTTGAAAACGAACACGGATATGAGTAGAAGGGCCATTAGAAATAAAAACGCATGTGGATACATCGTTAAATATGTTGGTACTCAGGTATACTATACGATGCATCCTGCCTATTCTAAGGTATGATGGGCATTCTAACGTACGAAAGTGGTTCATACTTTTCATTATGAAAGTAATAATATAGTTTTCAACGTCCGAAAGTGACTAAATAGTTTTAAACGTATTAAAGTGTCTAAAAAGTATAGAAACGATAACTATAAACAGACTTTTCTACGTGAGCACCAGCGATTTACAAGCCATGCAGAAACAAGGCATTGGTCGAATAGATACAACTGTAAATACAATTAAAATTTGGCCATACAGTTACAACTGTAGATACAAGTTGTTGGCTAAGCAGATACACTTGTAAATACAAGTCCGCAATAATGACGACATTGAGCATTGTAAAAATGTTGGCTACCGACATATGGACGACCGACGAAACTTTCGATGAACATTCTATCAACAAACGTGCACCATTCCATCACGGATACAATTCTATAAAACATTGCTAACATTTTTAAAACATCCCTTACAGGTAATATATATGCAGTAAAAGATAAAAACTTGATATAAATTCATATATTCTACAGAAAAACTGCTCATTCAACAACTTCATTACTATGTTTACTGTTCATACTATATATGTAAATATTTAGGTATATTCAGTAAAAGTTTGACAGGGTTCAAAAATAAAATAATCTACTGAATCCCTATAAAATAGTAGAAATAACAAAATTTTAACCGCCTTTAAGTAGGAAAGGCATTTATTCTGTATGTTTAATCCTTTACTTTTAGAACGGTAGTTGCCATCAACTCTTGTAATGATATTCTTATCTGACTTAGTATTTTCACCCACCATGCGCGCGGGAAATACGAGTGAAATACTGAAAATTGCACCAACAATAAGGCAATGTACGATTGATACGCATTAATTTCTTATGCAACGCGCAAAGTTTAATTGCGCTAAAAAATATTTTTTATTCGAGGCCCATTTAAATATGACAGAAATACTGCAAATTTTTAATAAGATTCAGTGGAAAATACGAGCGTAATACTGAATATTTTCAGCTACAATTCATAAAAAACACAATTAATTTTTTTAATCGTGCATTCTTCTAAATATTTTTTGACGGCAAAGAACTAATGAAGGGCGGCCCAAAGCAATCAATGTATCGCAAGAGTAAGGTAACGTTAATCATTATATAATAAAAATATTAACCTCTAAAACATTCACAGTCACGCTTAATCGTGAAAGAAATAATTCATTAACTTGTTTAAAAATATTGGTTAAGAATAGCTCACGACACACCCTACCAATTATTTACAACAAACTAGTTACGAATCAGCTACAATAAACTAGTTACGAATCAGAGACAATAAACTAGTTACGGATCAGTTACAAAAAACTAGTTACGAACCGGTTATTATAAAATAGTTACGAACCGGTTACAATAAACTAGTTACGAATCAGTTACAATAAACTATATATAGTTACGAATCAGTTACAATAAACTAGTTACGAACCGGTTACAACGTTTCTTACAATGTAGGTTAATCAATCAGCGTTCATGCACGAAACAGAGAACGCTTCGAGGCCGCAGCATCTCTGTTCTCAAAACTGTCATAACGATCATAACTGCGATGAGGATCGTATAGGTTTCGTTAGGCGTCATGCAGAGAGTGAATATAGTGCGGTGAGAGAATTTGACGAAACAGCACGAGAAGAAAGACTTGACAGGAGAGAACTCGAAGCAGGAGAGAACGTGAAGACTTGACAGGAGAAAACGTGAAGCTAGACTTGACAGATGAGAACGGGGTAGCAAGACTTGACAGGAGAAAACGTGAAGCTAGACTTGGCAGGAGAGAACGTGAAGCAAGACTTGGCAGGAGAGGACGTGAAGCAAGACTTGACAGGAGAGAACGTGAAGCAAGACTTGACAGGAGAGAACGTGAAGCAAGACTTGACAGGAGAGAACGTGAAGCAAGACTTGACAGGAGATAACGTGAAGCAAGACTTGACAGGAGAGAACGTGAAGACTTGACGAAACAGTACGAGAAGAAAGACTTGACAGGAGAGAACGAGAAGCAATACATGACACGATTGAACGTGGAGACAGACTTGACAGGAGAAAACGTGAAGATTTGACAGGAGAAAAAGTGAAACAAGACTTGTCAAGAGAGAACGTGAAGCAAGACTTGACAGATGAGAACGTATAGCAAGACTTGACAGAAGTGAACGTGAAGCAAGACTTGACAGGAGAGAACGTGAAGACTTGACAGGAGAGAACGTGAAGCAAGACTTGACAGGAGAAGGATAGCATCAAAAAAGCACTCAACTGGTCTAAATACGCGACCAAGAACGAGGTGCTCAACAATTAGAGTTCGGCGAGTCACCCTACAGTCAACATAGCAGTTCTGAAGAATTCCTATTCGAGGCTTCTTTCGTCGTAAGTGCAAGAAACAGAACTTTCCACCTCGCAAATGACGTTGAAGCAACGTTCAATTAACATTGATTTAATTGAATAACATTTAATTTAACGTTGCTACAACGTCAGATGTCTGGCGGGATTGAAAACATTGCATCGGGGACCTCCACAACAACGTCAACTTGCGGTCTCCACAACTTTTGGGGACCAATTTTCAATTTTTGTGGGGACCAACTTTTGGGGTTCCACTACTTTTTATGGCATGACATGTTTGCCAGGACTCGAATCGTTACGAATCCATAAATGTTTTTATGAAACTCGGAATAAAATCAGCCTTGAAGAAAATTCCGACCATTATTTTTCATTTCTGCGAATTTCATTCCTCTCCCAAATTCTTATCAAACACTTGATTGCCCATCATACAACGATGAACATAGAGCCTTCATTCCAAACTGTGACGCAATTAGTGTAAAAACCAACGTCACTATGACAGGATTTTGAGGTGAACGCATTTCAAGTTAATTTGGTATAAATAAATAATTCAAATTATGAAGATTTCCAACGAGATCAGAGCTGCAACATGAAGAATATCAGGTAGAAATATTCATGCAGCAGGACGCTCAGATTCACACTGAAATATTGACTCAAAATCTCTGAGAAATTTCGAACCTACTTCAATAGAAGTTGAAAGTATAGAAAAAATCGAAGTGAAAATTCAATTCATGCAAAATCGAAGTGTGAATTGCAAGGGAGGTAATTAAAATCAGACTAGAGTAAAAACAAACTAATGACATTTCTTTGCGGAATTTGTATGGCTCAGGCTAGGCCTTAGAGCTTGATTACTATGGCATGTGAATGGCCTAACATCGTCCATGATTCTAGTACTACAGAAGATGATGACGAGGGTGGATACTATCACAAGGGGCGTGGCGAGCCACGTCCACAAGGGATCCACAGTCCACCCCATGCCCAGGAGTCGAGTCTTCCTGAAGGAGAGGTCGATAAGGCCTCCACACATCTGCTGGTACGTTGCGCTGATACCGAACACGTGCAAGAGGTTGTGGGAGTGTCCGATGAAGTCGAAGTAGCCAGGCAAGAAGCGTTCGGGGATGTGCGTGGCATAGAAGAAAGACGCGGCTAAGACCAAAACGAATTGCGAGACATGAAAGTAAGAACTTTCAGCACACGAGTCGGTGATGGGATCGCAAGTGAGCAGTCGGTATACTAGAGGAGACGACACCCAAATGTAAGGAACCACAAAAGATCCCAGGCGGAATGTGGTGGCGAACCGTGATTGTTTCTTCAGGCGTGAGCTGCACGCCAAGAACGTGGACAGCACCGAGTTCAGAGCAGAAATTGGCAGGTAGGAGTACGAGTAATATGTATGCAAGGCACTTTCAGGAAAACAGTATGAGTAGTAAAACACGGCGGCCCCCCACGAGTAGAAAGATAACGTAGAATAGTCCAAGAAAAAACACAAGTGCGACGAAAAAGGAGACATGCAAGAGAATGCGTGCGCGAGAGCACTAGCCAGAGGGTAAGCCATGCATGAGAACAAATAACAAGATAGAGGAATCCAGTACGGATCACTCAGCAGAGGCTGACTCGAGTACAAGAAAGCAAGTTTCCACGCAAAGTAAACAGCAGGCACGATATGCGTCCAGAAGTTAACAGTCTCATTGTTGACTTTGAACAAGGAAATGATGACCTGTGAGAAAGAGTAATTAACTCGGTAGCCATTGAGGATGCCGACCTCTTTGTACGCATCGTCGAGTTCTTCCGACGGCAGGACCGTAACTTTGTTATAGCCATGCAGCGCTTCTTTACGCACTGTCTCCAGCTTAGACAAGACGAAGTCAGAACCTGACCATGTCATCAACGAACTCTTCAACGTCACCTTCATTATCAACGCTTGTTACAAATTGAATCAAGAAGCAGTCAACGACGAAACTTAGAAGATCGGATATAGATATTACTTTTTTAAAATGCACAGCTACCTAATAAGACAGTTACCTACCGTTTAACAAAAATACAATAAATTAACAATAAAAATTTATAATTATCAATCGTAATTTATTGTAGCTAAAATATTGTATTAGCTAATATTTATTCTGTAGATGAAATTCATAATCCATCGGAATGAATCACAAAATTCAATTTCTCTTGCTAGATTCCTCCCAAAAATTAGTCAAATTAGAACAATTTTAACCAAACGCTTTTATTCAAAAGCTGCCTATGTATTAATACGACACAGAACAATCACACATTGATATAAATACACAGCAGCTAACACAAAAACTAATTCATGACTAAATCTAATCAACAGATCAATAAACCTCGGCAACTGCAGCTTTCATTTCTCATTCACGCATGCACTTGAATGCGTCTCACGTATGTATCGCTCCGATGTCTAATGATAACAATAAATAATATTCAGTTTATCACCCACTTGATCACCGCCTCGTGCACGCGACATTAAAATCATCTACGATAAATTCCTGTCAAGCTGATGAAATACCGTCCAGCGTCGGCTTTAATATCAATCATCCAAGATGTCAAACTGGAAGAAATCGATGAATAAAAGATTTTCTAGCCGGGGACCAGCTGGGGAGCCCAATTGAAGGAGAGAAGCAAAGAGGAGCGGCGGCGGTGGTGGCGGGTAAGGTGGCGGTAGAGACGATGGCGTAGGTGGCGGTGGTGTAAGCCTGCCCAGATTTGACACTGCATTAGAAAGTAGACGAAACATATTAAATGCAAGTGATACTCATTTTGCCAGACTCACGTGACATAAGAAAATACAGACAATCCGCCATGATTCCCAGGCATTTGAAAACTGGTACACAGCTGCCTTCTGCTGGTGCAGAGATCTGATGAGCGGCGCGAGTGTCATGAACCAGAGCTACTCAGCACACAGTGCCACACACTACACAGCATCACACACCACACAGTGCCACACACCACACAGTGCCACACACCACACAGTGCCACACACCACACAGTGCCACACACATGTAGTGCCACAGTGTCACGCACATTTAGCACACAGAACACACAGTGTAGGGCGCTATTTAGAATCGCACGTTACACTGTCCGTGTGAAGACTTTTGTTTTGTGATAAAAAACTAAGCCTCATGCAGTTCGTAAGCCTGGGAATATGAGGCCTCTTCAGTATATGTGTTGCCCTCGTGTGGTTACAGACGCCTGTGTAAGTTTGTATAGTCCCCTGTGTAAGAATGAAGCTATTTGTGTAAGTGTGTAGTGCTCTGTGTAAGTGTGTAGCGCTCTGTGTAAGTGTGTAGTGCTCTGTGTAAGTGTGTAGTGCTCTGTGTAAGTGTGTAGTGCTCTGTGTAAGTGTGTAGTGCTCTGTGTAAGTGCTGTCTCTTATACACATCTAGATGTGTATAAGAGACAGCTGTATATGTGCAAAAGCTTATTGCACCCTTTATTATTATTGTCCTATTTAGGCGCCCCTGATGGTATCCTATTTATTGTATCCTATTGAATCCTATTGAATCCCACTGTATTCTATTTATTGTATCCTATTTTAGTATTTAGGCGCTATATACTGTCTATGCATATATGACTGCGTGGCCTGGGACTGCAACGTCCGAAACTCCAACCAATGATTGAGATCAAGCAGCGACAAATAAATGTCATGAACTATAACACGACGAAGATTCGTTGGATTCAGGTTACGTTTCTCGTTATCATGATTTACAAGTGTACTCAATTCCAACTCAATAAATACTGAATTAATATACCGAGTTTTATTTAATTTGTGAGGTTACTAGTGAGGGATCGACACACGCAGAGTAATGGGTTAGACTTGTTCGATTAGTGATACACTTTTTGACCTAATGTGGGTCGTCCTGACCCAGTTTCGCCCGGCAATAATGCGTATCGATGCTACTTGCAAAGAGTGTGTCACTATTTGAACATTACAACCCGTTTCTTTCTGAGTGCAGGTTTGCCGTGAGCGAGTAACAGCTAGGAGTTTTAGAGTAAATGCCACAGCTTTATATATATATATATATATAAAATCCATATATACATAAGCGCCATAGCTTTATATGTATAGGCTCCATATATACTAGCAGCGATGCCACTTGACTGTGTTGGCACAGCCATACAAAAGTGGTTCAGACACCTTACACATACAAGTGATGGCTCCACCACCCTATCATTCAGGGTTCCTTTTAACCTTGTAGAAAATTATATGGTCATGTTGTTGATTCGTTAGCTGCACTATCGTCCTTGCATCGTAAAATCAGAAATGAGTGTTAATACAAAAAACATACCATATAACAGCACGCTCTGTATTTACAACATACAAATTAACACACTTAATTCACACGCAGGACGACAAAACTCGCAAAACCTTTAAGATTCGCTTCATGAAATGCGATAAAATAACTACTATGCACAGCTAAACTCCAACTATGCCTAACGTATCGAAACCTGTACCAATCCGAAACCTGCGATCGTAACCTTTAATTAAAGTGAATAATGGCCGAATTTCGTTTAATTTTGATTAATCAAATTAACCATCAATTACTCAATTTAACTGTTAATGAGTCAAATTAACCATCAATTACTCAATTTAACTGTTAATGAGTCAAATTAACCGTCAATTAATCAATTTAACTGTTAATGAATCAAATTAACTGTCAAATAATCAAATTAACTGTCAATTAATCAAATAAACTGTCAATTAATCAAATTAACCATCAATTAATCAAAAAAAACAGTCAATCAAATAAGCTGTCAATTAATCAAATTAACAGTCAATTAATCAAATTAACTATCAATTAATCAAATTAACAGTCAATTAATCAAATTAACTGTCAAATAATCAAACTAGCTGTCAATTAATCAAATTTACAGTCAATTAATCAATTTAACTGTTAATGAATCAAATTAACTGTCAAATAATCAAATTACCTGACAATTAATCAAATTTACCATCAATTAATCAAATAAGCTGTCAATCAATCAAATTAACAGTCAATTAATCAAATTATCTGTCAATTAGTCAAATTAACAGTCAATTAATCAAATTAACCATCAATTAATCAAATTAACTGTCAATTAATCAAATTAACTGTCAATTAATCAAATTTACAGTCAATTAATCAAATTAACTATCAATTATCCGTCACTGATCAGTCACGCGCTCCGCAGACCGCAAGGGTGGCTGTTCGCATGCAGGAGTTGCTAGGCAACGCACTTAGCGAGAAATTTACGCGCCTATTGCGACTAAACCCGAACACAAACACTCACGGCTGCCAACGGTTCAGAGATAAATATATCAATGATGGAATACCTGCCATATTATCACTTATCTTTTAAAGCTAATTAGTCAACAGATTTTTCAGCCATAACGTTGTCTTTTTAGCGCATTTTCTCATTTATGGAAAAAATGCACTATTGTGCTCGCTATGTCCGTCCGTCCGTGACTTCACGTTTTCGTCGACGAGAAAATGCGCTCTCTGTCACTCACTGCAGTGAGTTCTGAGTTACGTTTTTTTAGCAATTGACGAACAAAAGCTTTGCCAATTGTTTATATATTACCATTTTTATAGCTTAGTGAATTTTTAAGCAATAAATCTGAAGCAATCACTCATGTATGATTCTTGTTCGATTAATTTTCACCAAAAAACGCTTCGTAAATCAAAATGAAGCCAATTTTAGCTGTCGCGCCCGACATCAGCCTGTTGTTCAGCAGGCGTGGTTCATCTCCTGTGTACATCAATGCAGAAGTCAGGTAGTAATAGCATAGTGAGGATCCACGTACGCTGATTCAGTCACTGATTCCGGTGATTCAGTCACTAACCCGCTGACTGAGTCTGCGGACTGAATACAGCCCACTGATAGCCACTGATTCCACTGATTCAGTTACTAATTCTGATGATTCAGTCACTGATTCCACTGATTCAGTCACTGATTCCTCGGATTCAGTTCGAGACTACTGACTGAATCAGCAGATTAAAGACTGAACATGTCCGCTAATTCAGTCACTCTTGAGTGCAGCCATTGACAGCGTACTAAACTGTGCCAACACTTCCCGGATATCATACTATGTACAAATAATCACTATGAGCCCTTTTTTATTAAACATTACGTCCGAATTAAATCAAATATATTGAAATAAGACCTACTAACTGAATTTCAATCTAATTGCGCATATGCCCAAATAGGGCCATTGAATCTAATTTTACGCACGTAGCCTTCGTTATCCTCTCTTAACTTATGTAATTTCTTTCTAAACTTGAGAAAAAATTGATTACTGTATCCATGGCTCCGACATTCAGACAGCGCACAACTTACAACAGCACATCCANGACGCTACACATGGAGCGCCTGTGTATTAAACATACAATAAAAGACCAATGACCTGACATACACCAACTGACGGCCGCGTCACTCATACAGTGATGTGCATACTTCAACGATTAGTACACAGAGACATCGAGACACAGATATACAGAGACACAGACACACAGAGACACAGACATGCAGAGACACAGACACACAGAAATGCAGAGACACAGACACACAGAAATGCAGAGGCACATATACACAGAGACATAGACGCACAGAGACAGAGACACACAGAGACATATACACATAGACACACAGACACAGAGACACAGACACACAGAGATACGAACACACAGAGATACGAACACACAGATACACATACACACAGAGACAGAGTCACAGAGACACAGACACACAGACACACAGAGAAACAGACACACAGAGATACAGACACACAGAGATCTCTGTCTCTGTAAATACCTACACTAAGGCAGAGTATAAATAGCACTGCGAGACAACAACAACAAACGAATGTATTTTCCCACACGTCAGTCCTACCGATCGTACGATGCCTCGCACGCCAACAGCCTCGGCTGACCTCGACCCCATATACGTACAACGTAAGAGTTGCTACGGTCGAGGCTGCGTAAATATACGTACAAC